TAATTAGAAAGTGATCATATATATATGAAAAAGGTCAGTGATTATGTTAGAAACACAGATAATTATGTTATCAGTTAAATTGCAAATAACAAATCTGATAACATCAGAATTTATAACGTAGAGCCTGTGTTACTTTACAGCATGGGCTCCACATTATATCCCAATGATAATCAGTTATCATCTACAATATAACTAATAACAAATACTTATTATTTTGTTTTTCAACATGTTTTTTAGCAAAATTATATCTTGGTTAACTTTAGTATTATTGATTTGTTATTGCACATTATAGTTTTATTAGGAGAATTTAAATATAGTCTTTAATTTAATATTAAATATTCTTGTAGCTATTTGATTTTCTTGCATTTAAGATCATTATTTTGTTTGTCAATTGTGCATATACACATACTTGAATTCTATTTTAATCAGTTTAATATTTGTTATTAATAATTACTGAATAAAGACACAATCATTATTTAATTGTGGTTTTTACAAAAAGACAAAAATAGTAAAGAATAATGAAATTAAATTGGCTTTAATAGTGATGTGATTAGCTTTTATATTTAAAATTAAAGAAAATAACAAATCAAAACTTACAAATTAATTAAAAATTCATTTTTCAATGTACAGCATTTTGTATCTAGAAGATTATTGAATGTCATTACTAAGCTTGCAATCCAAATTTTGCAAAATATCGTAACAGTACTTCAAGGTGCAATAACAGGTATATAATTGAGCGTGATTCTGGCTAAAGTTTGGAATCATTTAAAGGTATAAAAATGGTCTATGGTTTCGTCTGATTATAGGCTAAAATTATCTTAATGTCATTTGAGGACATTCTAAAGCACCTTAATTGATAAGCCAAAAAGTGTCAGAGGATAAATTTTACTTAGTGAAAAATATTTCAAGTAAGTCAATTGTGTTTATCATTATAATAGATATTTAAATAATATCATGATTTAATAAAAATTATTATGTAATCTAATTTATTTTTATTAATAAAAAAATTGAATTAGTCATTTCAATTTAAAACCAATTTACAAAAGACCATCTTTTTTTATCTCTGGCTTGGAAAATTTGCTATTAATCAAGTATTCAAAAAGATAGTTCAAATAACATAGTCATAGGATCCTTATTCTCAGCATTAATGAATTACTATTCTACCTCTTATTTTAAAAGTTTTACAAATAAAAGAAAACATGAAGAAACCCAACATCTCTTGGCCTTTACTTATGTAACTTCTTTATATATGGTAGTGGCTTTATTTAAAAATTCATAAAAAATGGAGAGCCTAGTTATTGTGGCTAAAATAACAGTAAAATTGGTAAATGGTGCAATAGGAATAGCCAAAGTTATTATTTTACTAGCTTATTTTTGAAGATCACCAGTGTCAGCTAATTGTTGGATAACTTTCTTATTTTTTGTTTTATTAATATTTATAATAACATCTGATAAATACAGTATAAGTATAATAAGAATCGCTTAAGTATTAATTGCAATTTTATTTTTAATTGATTACATTAAATAAGCATCATTATAATCACTAGTTAATCATTTTGAAGATGATGTTTGAGAAACTCAAATTGCGTCATTATTTGCATATTCGAATTTGCATCAAAAACTATAAGGATAATGATTTGTGTACATTAGTTTAGTGTAATATTACATACATCAATTTTTTTGACCAATAAAATTCGCTTACATCAAAAACTTATTTATTAATAAAATTCTTTGTACATCAAATATTAATCGATCAAATTTTGACTAATAAAATTTGATGTATCGGTATGTATATCAAACATTATATGGATCAAATTTTTAACTAATCTTTTCACATTTTTTTTTGGCATAGTCAACCTTACTTAAAAGGTAACCAAATTTATTTATTTAGAATAAGTTGTTCAAACCAGAACAAAGCTATTTGGGCTTAGAGAATTTATCATAGTATTATATTATATGCTCATTATTTTAGGAAATTCATAAGGTTATACTACAGAATTTCAACATTCAAAATCCTGACCTACAAAACCCTGACAAACAAAATCTTGACATCAAAATCCCAATATTACCAAAATACTAATAGTAGTACTATTAAGATTTTGGCAGTGTTGGGATTTTTTGTCAGGATTTTGTTGTTGAGATTTTGTTTGTAGGATTTTGTATGTTGAAATTTTAAATATCAGGATTCAGTAGTATAACCATTCATAGATGTGACTTTGAGACAATATATGCACAATTTTTAAGTGACCCAGCTTTTCAAATAATGCTATGAACAGTATTTCACGTTTATATAACAAGTATAGCAATTCACTTCAAATAATAATAATAATATGAAAAATAGCTCTTTTGATAATAAATTTTATTAGATGCATAGAACCCCTTTAACTTATCTAATGTTATTTTCAGAACTGAAAGTCAATCATGATAGGAAAAAACAAGGATAGAATATTTTTTGCAAATTTTATTTTGTGTTAATATAGTTTAATCATTATATTTTATATTTCAATCATAAAGCTATAAAATTGCTAGATGAACTAATTAATTAATTAAAGATGTGATTTTATGTATAATTCGTATATATTCCTCTAGAATTAGTGACTTTACAATAAATAAAGAATCCATATTTTCAAATTATTAAAGCTATAATTTGTCTTAATTTAATACACAAACTTTGCATATACAACTCATCTTGTAAAATCAATAAATTACTTTACTATTGAAATATTTACTGTTTTTAGTATTTCTGAATCAGTAATTGAGTCATTAAATTAACAATAATATAATAATATATATCAATTGCACAAGTGAGATATAGATAGAAGCATAAGGCATAAAAAGAATATATAAAAGATATGCATAGTTATAAAAAGAGAGAATGCCAATTCTCACAAAAGCCTAATTTACAACGAATTGGCAGATACTAAGGATTTAAAGGTAGAACCTGTATATCCTTGTTTTGTTTTAGCTCGATTAATACAATATGATTGTCTTCATGCCAATGTAAAATAACGGTCTTCTATGATGTTCAGGTTTTTGATTAAATGGTAAAAAGAGAAGATTAATATAGAATCATTACTAAATACTACTACTAGTATGTTGAATGCATTTGATGCCAATTGTGCACACTCAGGTATATAAAACCAATACTCTTGTAAATACTATGACTCAGTATAGGATAAAACAGTTAATAATTAATTAGTATCATATTCAAGTATTTGATTATATATATCCTGTTGTTTAGTCAACTAAGATTTCATAATAACTTTAATATCTTGCCACTTTTTTCTTTCTTATATATAGCTATAAGATAAGGACTGGAAGCCACAATATCTATTGCCAATTGGATTGTGCACTTGTAATACATTATTTGAAGAAACATGTGGATCAAGTTGCATACCAGCTAGCTGCATCAATGCCTTATCATTTTTATTTAAGCTTTTTTTAACTTTTTTATTTTTATTTGACCCACAGATACGATTGTTGTTTGGAGGCTGACCATGCTTACACTTATTCTCTGGCATCTTAATATCACTATAATTTGTAATATTATTAACTTCAGGCATTTTAAAAACACTTTGCTATACAATGCTCAAGTCTTTTTGCAACACCAAAATTTTTCTATATTTAAGAATATATTCTGAGGCATTTTGCATAAGATTCAATAAGGATTTATAGTGATAATCTGGCCCTTTTTTGATAATTTCTGCAACAAGTTGAGGAACAGAATCTGAAATATGATATATTTCTGTAGTATGCTGCACATGCCAATACTAATGAATTTTATTTGGTAGCACTTATATATGCAGATACTGTAGATATACAGCGATAATATACCAACATGGAGTTCTGGTACGTTGTGGGTATAGATATATACAGATGCTTGATATTTCAATATGCACTATGTGCATTGTTTTTACTTGATCAGTAATTCATACTACATCATTTATATTATTATCACATTTAAAAACACCATATATTCCAGATTTAACAAGATCTCTCTGTTCTCTTATATATGTTTTGAATGCAAATTTTGAGCATGATGAATGCAATGCCTTCAAACCTATATCTTTATCATCTTGGGTATATCTATTCTAATGCAAGAATGTCTCATATGCAAACTTTTGAGACTGTTCTTGCTGCTGTTGTAACATTATTGCAAGTAATCTATTAATAAGAATTAGAATTTTTTAGTTAAAAGTTGAATGAAATTATAAATCAACTAATTACTATAGTTAGAGGTTTGCTAAAGCCTTATATCCATATGACTTTTTCTATATATATCTATCAAAATTATGAGATTTTGTTTACTTCAAAAATTAAAAAAAAATAAAAAATATGAAAAACAGCAGTCTAAACCTGTCTTAATATATAATTAAAAAGGTTGAGAAAAGAATATTACTTATATACCTATCCTTAAATCAACCCTAACCCAAATTATAATTAAAACTTTAGAAGTTACTTGGGTACAAGGCTTTAGCGATTCCCTATAGTTAGCAACTTAATCAATTAGTAAATCAAAACAAATTAATAATCTTTTTGAGAAAATAAAAAATAAAAAAAGAAAGAATCATATTGACTAATTCTATTAACCTATTTACAGTACTAGTAATCTTAAAAAATTAGTTATCTGTAGCTGACTAATGTTAAATAATAACTCTTATTGTTATTTTATATATGTACCTATCAATTAGAGTGATATGATTTTTAACACCCTTTAATTTACTATATAGACTTTCAACATGTTGGCTTGACCTTATATTGAGATTTATATTTTCATTTGTATATGGTGCAAGCCAACTTTCTTTATATGCTATCCATGTTTTACTTATATAATTTTTTGTGTTTAGAAATCATAATCACAATTCTATAATTTACTGATCTACCTGATCCTCTATAAGATTATTGTTGTTCACAAGTCTCTGCAAGGCCTAAATAAATTCATCAATATTTATGCTCTTAATTTTTTCTTAGATGTTTTTAAAAATATACCAAGTGCAAAGTTAGTGTCTTGTATTAGGAAATACTATAGAAATCGCTGCTATTAGAGCCAATTCTCTATCAGTAATAATTGTTGCTACATGTGAATCGTCTGTTAAAATTGGTAGTATTTTATATAATTGTTGCAATACCCAACAATAAAAATCTTTTGCTTTAGAATAAACAAGAGCAAAAGCTAGAGGGTATATTGAGCCAAATCAATCAATACCACAAATAACAATTAATGACATTGAAAACCTGTTTTTTTTTTTATTTTATTAATAATAATATAATGTAAAATATATAGTTAATAAATATTTCAAATAAAAAATTAAAAAAGTTACTAAACTGAAACCAGTAATATAGTATTTATCTATTAGTTTTATATGTCACATTAATAACCAACACATCTCTTGCTATAGCAAACTCCGAAGAAGCAGTTTGATATATCCAAAAATTGCTTGAACGAATGATCCATCTTGATCACGATTATCATTGTATAAAGGCTTTGTTGCCATACTCACCATAATATTTTCATCATTTTGCAAAGTTTTAAACAGTGTTTTAATTTCATCCAGCCCTTGTAGCTTGTGCTGATGCTGATAATTCACAGCATTATAAACATCATACTTATGTTGATATCTGGAACTGATAGAGGCTAAACTGCAAATATGTCTTTTGTTCAATCCTGTTATTATGAAGCTCTTCAATTATACCTAACTTATTATGATCAAGTTTATGCATATTACTGCTAAACTTTTAGCATCCGGAAGAAGATCATGATTATGCTTCAAGCACACTTTGGTTATCACCCATTCTTTTGTATGCTTGTGATAATTTATCCTAATAACAAACTGGCAACTTATTCTCTTTATAATATAAATATCTTTTTTTCCATTATATTTCTCCTGTTTCTCACAAACAAAAAATGCCTGTCTATAACCATTACCATCAAAGCTTTTAGTTGTTCTTCCCAAAATAATAACCATACTGGTTTGTGCTGCATAATTCTCAATAAATGCATGTGCTTTGCCAAAAGTAAAAAAAATACGCCCTTTTTCAGGAATAAGAGTAGCATTAGTATTCATGTGAAATACTAATAATTGACAAGTACGTAGTACATAGTTAAATTGAAAAGAATATGTAGTAATGAAAAATAGGCAAAAAAAAATAAAAAAATGGCAAAGAATAGTGAATAGTGACGGAAATGGTTAACAAAGTATAGTAATGAGGAATGGTCTGATGAATATAATAACAAAATAGTGATAATAAGTCAACGAAGCACAGGCAACAGCAATGACTATTAATCGTAATGCACAGTGAAGAATGGACCGACGAAAAATGTTAGTATCTTAATAGTGTAAATATCAAGGATTAGTGTTAACAAAATGTTAATCTATATTGGTCAATAAAATTTATGTACATCAATAAAATTTACGACATTGATAAAAAATTTTGTATTAAAATTAATGATGTATGTGAATTTTATTGGTCGAAAAATTTGATGTACGTGATGTTACACTAAATTGATGTACGCAAATCATTTCTCAAAATATAATTATGCCTGAACACCATTGCTAATCACATCGAGAATGAGCCTTGAGAACACCCTGAATTAAATAGTTAGCCTGTTAGACGGTTAAACGACTAGAAAAAGTTGCCTTCAATTTCTAGACTGGAGAATGCTATAAAACATATTGAGAGACAATTAAAAACCGTCATACATATAACTTAATAGTCTAGTATCTCTTTTATTATGTGAAAAATTAAATTTTTTAAAGATAATTTTTATTTCGAAATTGATACAGAGAGACCTCTCTAAGTGCACCCTCTATAAATACACCCTTATGTAAAATCTCTTTAAATGCATGGTATTATCTAGTCCAGCTTATGATTGCACTATATATTTTTCTCTCTAAAAATGCACATCCTCTCTAAGTGCATATTTTTAGAATTTTTCCCGAGGGGGGTGCATTTAGAGAGGTCTCTCTGTACTTAGACTTTTACTGAATTACATGATAGCGATTGAATGCACATAAAATATTTAAACTATCACTATAAATAAGTTTATGTATATTAATAGTTAACTATAATTCAAATTTATGTAAATCGAAATCAATTGACACAAGTTATGACCAGTGTAGGAAATCTGATGTTCTCAATGTTCTCTGAGAACATCAATTTTCCAATTTTTTATTAATAACATATAAAAAAAAATTGCCTGAGAACATTAAAATCGATATTGATTTCCAACACTGGCTATGACATAATTAAAAGTCAGTGATTTATTTTCCGGTTCTAGTGCAATTGTAACATAAAAAATATAATTATTGGTTAGATAGGTGAAGAGTATAACCCATATTTTCAAATTTTTTATAATAAATGAATGCTTGATGCTCGTCTTTTTTAATCCCAATTCCATGTTCATAACAAGTTCCAAGGTAATATGTTCCTAAGGCATGACCCATAGCTGCCGATTTTTGAAAATGAATAAAAGCCTCTTGTTCATTCTTTTCAACTCCGATTCCATTTAGATGACAGTTACCAAGTGAAAATATTCCATCAGAATCTCCAATGCTAGCAGATTTTTGATAATATGCAAATGCCTTAGATTCATTCCTTACAACTCCAATTCCATCTTTATAACAGTTACCAAGCGCAAATATTCCATCAGGATTTCCCATCTCAGCAGATTTTTGAAAATAAATGAATGCCTTATGTTCATCTTTTTCGACTGCAATTCCAAACATATAAAAATATCCAACCTTATAGATTCCCTTAAAATCGCCCATCTCTGCAGATTTTTGATAATATTTGAATGCCTTACATTTATCTTTTTCAACTCCAATTCCATTTTCATAACAATATCCAACATTATGTATTCCATTAGAATTCCCCATTTCTGCAGACTTTTGAAAATAAATGAATGCCTTATGATCATCTTTTTCAACTCCAGTTCCATATTCATAACAGCTACCAAGTGCAAGAATTCCATTGGCGTTACCTGCATAAGCAGATTTTTGAAAGCAAATGAATGCCTTATGTTCATCTTTTTCAACTAGAATTCCATCTCGAAAACAGTTACCAAGTGCAAATATATCAAATTCTTTCATATCAGCGGCATGTTTTTGATAATGAATGAATTCCTTATGTTTATCTTTTTCAATTCCAATTCCCTTAATATAACAATAAGTAACTAGAGATATTCCATTAGAATTACCCATCTCAGCAGATTTCTGATAATAAATAAATGCTTTATATTCATCCTTTTCAACTCCTATTCCATTTTGATAACAAAATCCGACATTATAAATTCCATTTGAATTCAACATCTCCGCAGATTTTTGATAAAAAATGAATGCTTTATGTTCATCTTTTTCAATTCCAATCCCACGAAAATAACAGTCACCAAGTGCGAATATCCCATCAGAATTACCCATCTCAGCAGATCTCTGATAATGAACGAATGCCTTCTTTTCATCTTTTTCAATTCCAATTCCACTTTTATAACAATTTCCGACTTGATACATTCCATCAGAAAGCTGCATCCCAGCAGATTTTATATATTGAATGAATGCTTTATATTCATTCTTTTCGATACCAATACCATGTTGATAACAATAACCAACTTGGAATACACCATCAGAAATATCCATCTCTGCAGATTTTTGATAATAAGTAAATGCCTTATGTTCGTCTTTTTCAACACCAATTCCAAACATATAACAATATCCAACCCTATAGAATCCTTTAAAATCTCCAATCTCTGCAGATTTTTGGTAATAAAAAAATGCTTTATGTTCATCCTTCTCTATTCCAATTCCATAATTATAAAAAATACCAACATTAAATGTTGCCTTAGCATGACCCAGATTGGCCGATCTTTGATAATAAATAAATGCCTTATGTTCATCTTTCTCAACTCCAATTCCATAACAATAATATTTTCCAACATTATACGTACCATCAACGTGCTCCATATCTGCAGATTTTTGATAATAAATGAATGCTTTATGTTCATTCTTTTCAACACCAATTCCATTTTCATAAAAATAGCCAACACTATTTGCACCATTAGCATCACCCATATCTGCAGATTTTTGATAATAAATGAATGCTTGATGTTCATTCTTTCCAACACCAATTCCATATTGATAACAATTACCAAGTGCAAATATTCCACCAGAATTACCCATGTCCGCAGATTTTTGAAAGTAACCGAATGCCTTATTTTCATCCTTTTCAACTCCGATGCCATGCAGATAGCAAATTCCAAGACGAAATATTCCTTCAATATGCTTCATTTCAGCAGATTTCTGATAATAACCTAATGCTTTATGTTCATCCTTGTTAACTCCAATCCCATTTTGATAACATCGACCAAGTGCAAATATTCCATTAGCATTTCCCATTTCTACAGATTTTTGATAATAAATAAAAGCTTTATGTTCATCCTTGTTAACTCCGATTCCATTATGATAACAATGGCCAAGTGCAAATATTCCATTGGCATTTTCCATTTCTGCAGATCTTTTAAATAAAGACACTGCCTTATCTGCATTTTTTTCAACTTCCCATCCCATAAGATGGGCACAACCATTCATAAATAATTTTTCAGAAAATCCCATCTTAGAGGCTTTTTTTTTAAAAAATAAATCGGATATTTTAAAATTACGTTCTTATAAAAACATATTTGAAGATGAAATAATTTGTTAACCCCTTTCAAAGTTTTTCG